TTAAAATGTAGTTTCTTTGTTATTGGCATTCTGTTTTCTCATGAAGTATGCATACTATACTAAGGTACTGTGGGGAATACACCACTCTTGCATTCACCTGTATATCTCTGCAGGAAGGGGACACTCGTTCAGTTTTCAACTCCATTCAGAATCTTGGAGTAAGTGTGCATACACTATTTTACAGATGTTACTTTCATTTGATTTATTTACTGCATGGTAAAATATGTTTGCTATGTGGTAATTGTGTTCTTTGTTTCGATAAATTAGTACTAGATCAGTGAACATCACAATAATGTTAATAACGTAGTTTGTGTAAACAGCATGCTTGCTTTTTTATTTCAGATGTGAGAATAACAGTGCAAAAGAACCTGTTGCAAAGAGAGCCAAAGCAAAGCAGCCCACTTTCAAAACTTTTCCAGGCCCCAAAACACCCTCGGACCCCAGAGGGTTAATGTTAGTCAGGGTAACAACAAGATGGGGTGGTAAGGAAAATGTCTTCACAATGAACCTTACCAAATTACAGGGTGAAATGGGTGCCAAATGTGCATGTCTGAAACCACTGGCAATGGCAAATCCTTGCAGATGTGTCTTTAAGACACCTGATTACTCCTTGAAACTGCTTTTCACGAGCAGCGTATGCAATACAGTTATTGTGCTCATCCACATTATGGTTCATGCTATTTACCTACATAAACAGTACAGAAACTATCAGTTGGCTCCTAATGTCAAATCTAAAGAGAATTCTGTAAAACTTTAGTATAGGGACCAATTCTCACTATTAACTAGTTGCTTATTAGCATGCCTATAATTAACATATTGGCTGTTTATTAGTACTTATAAAGCACATATTCTGCATGATCATATTCTACATCCCTAATCCTACCCAAAACCTAAAATTAACAACTACCTTACTAACTATTGATAAGCAGCAATTTAGGAGTTTATTGAGGCAAAAGTCGTTCATGGTTTGTTAATAGCGAGAACTGGACCTTAAAATAAAGTGACCGAGAACTCCTCCTGGTCCATTCAACACAGGCATTTTTTCTTATAATTATTTTACTTTATTTAAAGGTTAGATTTTTGAAAGAAGGATAAATACCACAGACATTTTTTATGGCCTGTTTTGCTTATATTCATCAAGGGTACTAATATTTGTGGAGGACACTGTTTGTCATTACTACAACACTTTTTCAAGTTGTATCATTTTATCATAAGACCAGAATACAAAAGCAAACTAATTTCATTACTTGCTCATGGGTGAATCTAACAAAACTTGTTCCCTTTCAGTCGGTCACTCCCGACGTCACGTCGGCTGACCGACGAAATTGGGATCTCGCTTAGAGGGACCAATCCACTTCGAGTGTAAACTAAACGAGCCAATGCACATTGGCATGCGATTATTGCATCCAGCTGCTGCTGATCACAGCGTGAGTATAAGTAGGCAGCAGATGCAACGCATATTCAGCTTTTCGCTTCTGCCTACTTATACTCATGCTGTGATCAGCAGCAGCTGGATGCAATAATCGCATGCCAATGTGCATTGGCTCGTTTAGTTTACACTCGAAGTGTATTGGTCTCTCTAAGCGAGATCCCAATTCGTCGGTCATCCGACGTGACGTCTCCGTTCCCCTCCTTCAGGGAACGAGGGTTACATACGTAACCGAGACGTTCTATGGGTAATAACAAAAGATACTTTTGTTTATTTTTCTATATTTTTAATGCTATCTATATTTTTGTGACCCAGGCAAGTTCTTGTAACATTCACCCATCTATGCTATCAGTGATATGAAAGCACTGCAGTGTCCACAACATCCACACACTGTCCATCACACAGGCATCAGAGCATTCCATCAGGAGCATGAATCCATTGAGCATGCGATCAGAGGCCAGCGGCTGAATGGATTCACCGGAGTGAGATGAGAGCGGGTGAAGCAGCGACACACGTGTGCCTAAGCAGGGCTTATAACGTGTGACTGGGTGACAGGAAGGGTTGACACACAGAACGTCCTTTACAAACCGTGGCTTGGTTTTGACCCATTAGGTAGAAGCAGGGCTCGCCCAGCTTATCATTCCTCAGACAGGCAGCGAGATGGGGGCCCATCATAGCTGAGGAGCCCACCAGAGAACGAGAGATCAGGAAGAGAAAGAAACAGAGATAAATAAAGAGAAAGGAAACATGCAGCACTCTGACAAATCACAACAGTTTTATTGGCTGACTGAAGACTGTTCAGAAGATCTCACTCTCTAGATGAACACATAACAGAGGCTGATTGATCACCAAGAAGTAACAATTTTGTGGTAGAGAACAAGAAGAAAAGACAGTTCAGGATAGATTAAAACACAAAGACCAAACGCTTCGAAACAAAATGCAAAAAGCATTAGACTTTAACTTGTTTGTTACACACCATACTCTGGGACGGATCCATCTCCTCTCTTCAGCACCAGTCGAGCTCGTCTGCCTCCTGTCTTGATCAGCTCGATGGCGCGAGAATGCTTCATATTTTTCGTACTTTCACCATTGATCTCCAGTATTTCATCACCAACCTGTAAACGAGGCGGACACCACCATTAGCTTATGGGAGGCTCAAGAGGGCATCATGAGCAGCAGCTGAGGAACAAAACTGGGTGCTTCTCACAAATCAAAATGCTATCTGTTAACAGCTGAAAACATACATTTGTATTACTGGTTAACGAATCTTGACCGATACTGAATTTGATAAAGTGTAAAAAAAAACAGGTACAGTGCCGTGAAAAGGTTTTTGCCCCCTCCCTGTTTTTTAATTAAAAATTTTTTTTTTTTGCATATTTGTCACACTTAAAAGATTCAGATCATCAAGCTAATTTTTATATTACACAAAGATAATGCAAGTAAATACAAAATGCAGTTTTTAAATGATGATTTCATTTATTAAGGGAAAAAAGCTGAAAAAGTAATTGCTAAATCTGTTACAATGACCTGTTAAATCATGAAAGAACTGTGATTAACCTAATTATTTTAGAAAGCAGAGTTAAATTTCACTAGCCACACCCAGACCTGATTACTGCCAGACCTGTTGAATCAATAAATCACTTGAATAGAACCTGTCTGACGAAGTGAAGCATGCTTAAAGAGCAACACATCATGCCGCGATCTAAAGAAATTCAAGAACAGATGAGAAACAAAATAGTTGACGTATCAATCTGGAAAGGGTTATAAAGCCATTTCTAAGGCTTTGGGACTCCAGCGAACCTCGGTCAGAGCCATTATCCACAAATGAAGAAAACTTGGATCAGTGGTGAACCTTCCCAGGAGTGACCGGCCTTTAAATTACTCTAAGAGTGCAACGACGACTCATCCAGGAGGTCATAAAAGAATCCAGAACAACATCTAAAGAACTGCAGGCCTCACTTGCCTCTATTAAGGTCAGTGTTCATGATTCAACAATAGGATAGAGACTGGGCAAAAACAGCATCCATGGGAGAGTTCCAAGGCAAAAGCCATTGCTGACCAAAAAGAACACAAAACCTCGTCTCACATTTGTAAAAAATATCTTGATTATCCCCAAGACTTTTGGGCAAATATTCTGTGCACCGATGTGGCAAAAGTTGAACTTTTTGGAAGGTGTGTGTCCCGTTACATCTGGCATGAAACCAACAGAGCATTTCATAAAAAGAACATCATAGCAACAGTCAAACATAGTGGAGGTAGTGTGATGGTCTGGGGCTGCTTTGCACCTTCAGGACCTGGACGACTTCCATAATTGATGGAAGCATGAATTCTGCACTCTATCAAAAAATCCTGAAGGAGAATGTCCGGCCGTCAGTGTGTGAGCTCAAGCTCAAGCGCACTTGGGTTATGCAGCAGGACAATGATCCCAAACACACCAGCAAGTCCACCTCTGAATGGCTCAAAAAAACTAAATTAAGGTTTTGGAGTGGCCAAGTCAAAGTCCAGACTTAAATCCGATTGAGATGCTGTGGCATGACCTTAAACAGTCCATTCATGCTTGAAAACCCTCCAATGGGGCTGAGTTAAAACAATTCTGCAAAGAAGAGTGGGCCAAAATTCCTCCACAGCGATGTGAAAGACTCATTGCCAGTTATCGCAAACACTTGATTGCAGTTGTTGCTGCAAATGATGGCACAACCAGTTATTAGATTTAGGGGGGCAATTACTTTTTCGCGTAGTGCCAGGCAGGTTTGGACAGCTTTTTTCCGTTAATGAATGAAATCATTATCTCAAAACTGCATTTTATATTTACTCGGGTTATCTTTGTGTAATATTAAAATTTGTTAGATGATCTAAATCTTTTAGGTGTGACAAATATGCACCAAAAAAAAAAAAAACAGGAAGGGGGCAAATACCTTTTCACGGCACTGTAGCTCCTACGGATGTAACGATATCAAAATCTAACAATACGATATTATTGTGATATTAAGTCCACAATACGATATTTATTGCGATATTTAAAAAAAAAATTCCAATGAAGAATTGGGAAAAACTTAAAAATTTGTAAATTTTAAAGTTAAATTATTCTATCTAGTGCACTTTGGGACTTCAAAATTAAGAGCTACAACTCATGTTTCTTAACTAAGAAAACTAAATCAGAAAGAAGTCAGTGAATTCTAAATTCTAAATTACATTCACACTGGGGTTTTAGGAAGCCAAACAAATTAGAATATGATAACAACAATGACAGTAATGGCCACATATTGTAAAACAATTGCACTGTAAAATAAATAAAAATTAATATTTCATAGGTATATTATTTTTGCTTTACACTACAATAGGGAAATGACAATACTTCTTTCCTAAATTCTACACTTGAAAGAGATATTTTGAATCTGGGCTGCGTTTAAACCGTTAGCTGTCAGCAATTCCTACTGCACTTTAATGCTTTTATTTTGATGGAAACAGCAGTAGAGCTTTTATTTTGAAGGAAACTCCAGCTCAGTGAAAACAGCTTACAAAAACAAAAAAGCGTCTCGCTACAAATCTAGTGAAATGCTGTGATCATCTGCCATGAAAATAAAGCATAACTGGTGTCTGTTGCGTTCCCAAGTGCGCGCTAAACTCACACCACATGCAGTAAATGAGTTGACTGCATTCATTCAGTGTAAACGGAGCCGTTCTGAGACGCAGAAAACACCAGATCACGAGCTGATCGTCTTAACCAAGTGTGTGCTTCACTTTGAAACATGCAGCAAAAACAGACTTGATGAAGGGATTAAGCATATTGTGCTTTCGGTGTGACAGATACTGTGTGATACTGTGTTTGACAGATACTGTGCTAAAACATAATGGCCTAAAGCAAATATATTTTAAAAACTTTTATTTTTCCTGGAAGACCTATCGTTTCACATCGTCATGTGACCACGATAATATTGAGACAGTTTTGATATCGCGATATTGCTAATATCGTTACATCCCTATTAGCTACTGTTCGTAGTAGAATGCTAATCTCAGTTTAGAGATGGACACGGAAACTGAAAGAGAAATGAAGCAGTAATGACATACACACAGGCTTCTAATGCCAAAGTTGTAGGTAACCGTCAATTTTGTCCCAACACACCAAGCAAAAATCAAGCTGCCAAAATGAGCAGCTGGTGTATGCATCTGAACATTAAAGCCTGTGTTATACTTTCCGCGCGTACAATCCGGACTCGTACGTGGACATCGCGGATGCGGACTACTTGCAATTATACTACCGAAACTGTCCGCGGAGCGGACGTGTTCCATACATGCGTAGTAGATCGGCTTGAACAATAAACAAACACGTGAACAAAGAATTGCCCAGAGTTATTGCACATCTGGCTGTTTTTATATTGTTTTATCGACAGATTGTACAGGTTCGAGTAGCAACGGGCTTCTTCACACAGCCTGCGCATGCGCAGTAGCGGACAAGTACGCGCGGTCACAAAAAATGGGAGGCACGCGGATGTCCGCTCAGAGCCTCCATGCACACTCTCCGATGACGATTTTTATGTCACGCATACCATAGTGGACCCTAGCGGACTTGGAAAGTATAACACAGGCTTAAGGGTCTGCAGTTTTAAAGAGGACCGGACAGTTTTCGACATAGCAGCATGAAACTGGTGTCTCAATGTCTCTGGTCGGCTGTGGAAAGAGCAAGTGAGGAAGACAAAAGAGGCTCTCTCAGTGGACCAAAGGCTTTGGTTAATAAGACATTCATCAGTGGCCTAAATAGACTGATAGTCCTCATAGTCTGCAGTTGCTAGTCATTACTAAAGACAATGCTCATTTCAATCACAACATCTGCTGATCTAGAAATAATCTGTTATACTTCACGTCTCATTTTAACAGTTTAAGCAGCTGATATATGACTGTTTTGCTTCGAGGACTGCAGTGTGTGTGAAGTTTAGGTGCTGTCCTCCAGGAGCAGGCCAACAGACATTCAGTTGTAACGATCAGCCTAACAGGCTGGGTTACAAAGTTCAAAATGGGGTCAGATTTTACTGAAGTGGGTGTGTCAGATATAGGGAGACATACAAAACGTGCAGTGCTGGGGGTACTTCATGGAGAGGTTTGAGAACAACTGCATTAAAAGAATGACATAAAACAGAAATACGTTTTAGAACTGTGCATTTACAAAGTTCACGGGACTTTAAAACAACACAATAAAACCAGGAAAACTCAGTCTGTTAAAAGCATACAGTTCTCTGCACCATACCCTAAAAACAGTCCAAGAATCCTAGAGTGCTGAAAAAGTCCCAAAGTGAGTCCACCAGTGTATATACAATCCAAAATGAGTGATAATCCACTAGCTTGCAAGTAAATCTGGAAAGGTAAATCCACGGAAAGGAAACTCCACAATCCAGGTGTGTTTGGTAGCTGTTAGTGACCACTTTGTTTGGCATGCTGCTCTCTTTATACAGTTCCTGCTTCCTGTCACATGACAGGCCAAGCATACAATTTTTAAAGACATATACATGTTAAAATGTTAAGAAAAATAAAATGGACTTAAGAAAACATGTAAACCAGTTAAAACTCTATTATAAATAAAATCATTGCGGTAAAACCTGTCTCTTATATGACAGTGTCACATAGTCATTCTGCCGTATATATTTTATGCCCCTTTCTTTCTTTTGTATCAATGTATCGAAATAAAAGCTTTTGTTCTGTACAAAGAAAAAATGTGGACATTTGTTTCATTTAAGAAAAATGTATGCTTGTCTTCAGAAGCTATTGTTCGTAAGAAAAATTAATTTTACTCTTACCCTCATCTTGGCGTTTTTGACAGCGGCTCCATCCTCCGCTAATCGCAGCACATACAGATCCATGTTGTACTCCTTACCGCCTCTCAGACTGAAGCCGAAACCTTTACTCTCCCTCTCCAGATCAACCGAGTAATACTCTGCCTCCTAAACACACAAATACAACCAAATCACTAAACAAACATGGCAACTAGTTCATTTTACAGTCTGTGCACTTACCCAACAGACTACTGAGTAATATAAGCTAACTACTTGGGTCAGGGGTAAGTTTAGGGGCAGGTTCAGGGCTAGTACCTAGTTATTATGTATTAAAGGGGTCATATGATGCGATTTCAATTTTTCCTTTCTCTTTGGAGTGTTACAAGCTCTTGGTGCATAAAGAAGATCTGTAAAGTTGCAAAGACTAAAGTCTCAAATCCAAAGAGATATTCTTTATAAAAGTTAAGAGTCAACCACGCCTACCTAAAACGGCTCGTTCTAACACGCCCCACATATCTACGTCACTATGTGGGAAGATTTGCATAACGCCGCCCAAATGTTTACGCAAAGAAAGAAGGTGTAACTTTTATTCTCACTGTAGTATTGTTGCCGCTGCCATGTCGTGGAGACGCTGTGTGTTTCGTTGTAAAAGCGAAACTACTTTGTTTGGACTTCCAAAAGAGGA